CTGGAAATGGTTGGGAGATACACTTGCATGCGCATCTTTTAGACTGATCAGTTTGTCTATGTCATCCAGTATTTTCTACACCGAAAATACTTTTAATTTGAATCTTCGCAAAGAAATCTAGGGTAGTCGTTTGGGACATACAAATTTGCGATTACTTGATTCCATGGTAGAAGCAATAGGTGCTTCTTGGTTAGATTTTTAAGCAGCCAATCTTAGTGGCCTTCGCGTAACCTTCGCTTGCTATGTGAAATCGTTGCTAATTATTCAGTAAATCGTAGAGGCCTGTGATGTTGACAGACTGAGGTGTAATTTGATGGAATCCAGATCATCAGCCTGCTACCGCGATTTCTATTCATATTCTCCCATTTAAATATGGAAATCAATGAGTCATTTTTCTCTCTTGCTACCTGTTTCCTCCAAAGCGTGCCTCTGAGAAAACTCACTTGCGCCACAGGACGCACAGCTCTCGCTGACTAATCGCTAGCTTAGCCACTTCTGATTGGCTGGGCTCCCCTCACACGTGGCGAGTCACACAAGCACGTGCGCATCAGGCTTGTGCGGGCTATATAAGGGGAAGGCCGGAAAATGTCCTCGATTTCGCCGGTCCCCTATGCCCACTTTGGTGATGGTGTGATAAGGGGAGTATTTTTAACCTAAATCGATAATGGGCAGCCTTTCTAAGCCCTCACAACCGCCAAGGAAATGTCTACGCGGGATTTTTAATTAATCCATGCACAAAATCAGGTGGCTACCTTTTATTAATAGGTTGAGCAAACATCAATAAACCTCTTGTATCCTACCTCACTAGTTAAAACTCTCATTCGTTAATTTTTTTAATCCTGCGAGTATTCCTTGTGTCTCTTACCTCCAAGGAAAGTGGGCTAACGGTATTTTGTAATTTAAATGGGAAATTCGTATAAATTTACTCATTGCAGAATGGAAATGAAGATCCGGTAAGATGGCAGTAATAAACGTGATTGGGTGTATGAACGCTTCATTAATGTGAGCCTATGCAGACGCAATACACAAATGGAGAAATCGGTCTGACGACCTCAAAACGACCCATTAAGCTCGACATTGGAAATGATGTGCGGACGTGACGTCAGCTAGCGATCCCTAAAACCCAGGCTAACTATGAATTGGAGAATTAATTTAACTTCTTGAAAATCAGCGGAAAATAAAGCTCTTCCTTGTACTTTTTTGGCGACATGAAAATATCTGATGTTCATTGCGTTCACTTGTTGAATACGAGAGCCATGTGAAAATGACTTGAAAACGCGGAAATATTTCCTACGCGACGTGTAGAAGATTTTGTTGTAAGCATCTTCTTATCCCACTCAACTTATCTACTTGGACAGCCTTTCGGTAGCATTACTCGTGGTCGATAATTGGCTGAATGCAAGTTACCTACTCGGGCTCAAGCTAGATATCTACTTCACCTGGTTTAAACCTGTTTTAGTAAAAATTTCAGAATTCGGAAAACTGGTTTTTTGATACTCATCTAATGATTCTTTATGCTAAGTTTAGAAACCGCATTTTATCGTATCCTGATTAAAACTCGATGTTTGATTTAAACCTCGACTCGTATAAGTGGACCCAGTTACTTGTTGATATTTACGATTTGTTGCACACAGGATTTAGAAGTCATCCATCCCCTGGGCCATCATATTGTGTCGTGGTAGCCAAGGGGAGAAATAATATAATTATCTAAGCTCTGCAGCTACTATGGCAACACCCCATGTGGCACTTCCCCTGGGGACAAGGATTAAGCTGCTTCACAGCTTGGAAGTTGGCGCCATATTTGAACCCAATCCACTTCCTGTTTATGTTTATGAGGCACAAAATAGGTGTTGGGGTTATCTAATTTCCCCCGTTTTGACTGCTGATTGGTTCTAGTTCAGAAACTGGACATCATCGAAAAGTTCTCATGAGTGAATATAACTTAAAAGCATGCAGTCGTCCTCCCTCTCAGAGAAGACTATATAATCTCCGTAAACAGTTTCTAATTAAAAAGTTCAAAGAGATTGGAGCAGATAACTTCTAGAGTTTAGGCTGTGTTGGCAGCATTCCTTTTTCCCTTAGAAGTCGTTTCAGAGCAGTAAATGTAGACAGCAATTTAACTAGCTATTTTATGCCTGTAACAACTCTACACAATGGTCATAGAAATATTTTAACTCCCAAATGTAGATGGCACCAAGCCTTGCTTGCGACCTCGGCCCAGAACACCCACACAACAGCCCTTCAAACGCATTCTCATGGCCGCTAGGTTATTTGCAAAGGTAAACTCTGGAGAAGTTTCACGTTCCGTGAAGCCACGGGTCGAAGAGGGTGGTGACACTAGTATGAGTAAATTAAACATGTGCATCTACCAGTGCGCAAATTTAACTTAGACGACCTTTGGTTTAAAAACCACCATCACGTGGCACATGGTGGTGGCAGCGTAGCAACTACGGTCAGTCACGTGGGGCCGACTCACTCAATTTTGAGACTTGGGGTAGAATCAGGTGTAAACAAAGTACACAACGGCAGGCCTACAACCGAAACGCTCTCAGGTATGGGGGTTAGGTTACT